TGAATTTCGTTAGTAATTTTTTTCTGTCATGACTGTCATTTAAGAAACCAGTGTCGCCGTTAATTGTTGTTTGCCATTTGCGGTTTATTACTTTTTCCATTTTGAACAAATTTTAGAGTTGATGCACTAAAATATACCTATAAGAAACGTGACTGTGTCTAGTGTTAGTTTATAATTTGCGGTAAAACAAAAGCAGTATTTGTAGATTATACATAAGTAAACGATTTACCGAAAGCATGATGATACACCACTGTAATTAAATAAATGATCATCAGTTAGTACCAACGTCATAATTTTTTTGATTTGCGGGAAATTCAAATTGTCCTAATTTCTAATGAATCACCCGGTATATTTTGAATCCAAATATTCGCACAATTGCACCATTAGTAAAACAATTTTAATAACAAAAAAAACATTTTAAAAAATATGCTGCTTAATGTAACCCAAATTGTTAAAGGTAGGTACTGTAGTACTGGTTTACCATACCACTCGCCTTCTCCCAGACTCAGACCTAGATTATAGTATTAGGACGCCAGATTTTAGGTTGTGTCTTAAGGCATTTTAAGTTACAATTTTAGAGGTGGTCGTCTATTGGTTCTTTCATTTGAAGTAGCACAGAGACAAGGTAAATTAAACACATAGCAAGAATTAATTAGGTTTATTCCTTAATTAACATTTTGGAAAACAAAAACCTTTTACAATAAATGCACCGTGGATGACACAATCTCCCTAGCCCTTGGCTATTGGAAAGCGCGCGAGCGTTCCAGAATAGTCAAATGGCATTTTTATACCATCAAGGTTTATTTTCTTGTTCATTAAGGGAAATACGTGAATATTTATTATTGTTTATACATTGAATTACTTTAAGTTTAATTTTTACAATGGCCCGTATGAATAAAAGGGAGCAAATGTTAAGTGCCCCTTCATACTGGTCTGTTTAGCAGCGCTGTACTGCGTCCTGTCCTGCTGCTCAACAGCGCGCTAAGTCGCCCAGTGTGAAGGAGCACTTCCGCGTATTTACTTTGAATTTTGCAAGTATAAGCATATGCTCCATTTTATTCACATATGGGCCATTAAATTAAAGAATCATCATTTGGAAAACTTTAGGCTCAAAAAGGTATTACTTAAGTTAAGTATTTTTTCGTAGCCCACCACCTGAATAAAATAAACTGAAAACGATAGTCAATTTGCTACTAAACTCGATAAGGGCTGCATCGAGAGATTTTACTGGCTTTGCATCCATTTTATGTTTCCCGGGTGGTGCGGAATTGGGGGTGAGGATTCGCTCACTTCTTTTCGTTGACTGAGCGCTCAATTTTCGGTCTACTTGCAAGCGAGCGATAAATGACAGTACTCGAGACCGAACGTCCACGGGAACGCGGAACTAATGTTAGCGAGTAGAATGTCCTGCATTTTACAGAACTAAGATCTGAAGGCTCATTTTTAGCCATAGTGACAGACCTATCCGCTGTAGCTAATATTTACAACTGCCCTAATGCAGTTCAAAATTAATTAACAAAACTATATCTCTATGAGTCATAGAATAATAAAATTAAAATAAAGTTAATTAACAAAGAAGTAAGCAAATTCAGTTGAATTTAGCATTAGCAGTTTGCATGATTTGGCAATGAAAAAGGATTGACATACGGACGCATCATTCCTAAGGGCATTCCTAAAAATTTATCCCAAGAAGGTGCCACGCAACATTGCGATAATGTCTACAATATCAGACCACAACAAGAACGTTCATATTACGATTATAAAGACTACTCACAAATATTATATCTCCAATCCAATTAATTAACATTAATTGAAAATAATTTACCTTGTAGTGAACTATTCCGAATATACTTAACAGAAGCTTCTAAACTGCACATTTCTACTCATACGGTGTCACCAATATTGCACCTTTTCCAACTGGATTCGATGGATTCCATTCAACGACTAAATTGCACTTTTTTTGCTGAGTTAGTTCTACAATGTAAGTTTTTTTTCCTGACCTGAGTGAAATATCAATTTCCTAAGAACAACATAAAATAATTAGGCATGTTGGAAACGCCTTTATTACCCATAACGGAATTCTGTTTAAGCCCAAGTCATGAATTATTTTTTGTGTGTTTAAGATGGCAAACGCTAATTCTGTTGTGTTAAAAAAACTGGTTTATACGGAAAAGGGCACGTTAACCATATTAGTATAACGAGGATCAAACATTAGTGGACGTCTTAAATAACTACGAAGTTACAAAGCGCGTACGCGTTTTTTATTCCTAATTTAAAATTTCCGCCATGATTTAACTAGTTTCTTGAGACCAAAGCTACAACAGCGATTTCCAAAACTGGAGTTATTGGTATCGTTGGCGTCATTTGTTAAATTTTGAAACGTTTGTAAACTGTAAGTTATAAATCCCAAACCTTAAATCTGTTTGGTATAACACTGAATTTTAAATAAGTATCTTTTCAAAAAATTCAAACAGCGAAAGAGGCGGTATCTTCAACTCCCCTCCTCAATGGGAATCTGTCCCGTGGGTAGTTCTTCTTAAATCATTTATGTTAGATTTGATCTTAGTATAAGTGCTGTGATTTAGCGCTTGGGTTCTGATTTACCCGTGTAGGGACGGGAAAGAATATCCCTACCGCAGAGAGCACTGCGTGTCGTACGAGGCGACTAATCAACTACCCGTCGGGCGAAATGGCGAGTGAATGGAAGACAGAATATCTTGGGGGATGTTGTTCCGTTATAAATGTGAAGAGTGCGTGAATTGAGTGGGGAATTCGAATGAGTTTTTTGCGATTTTTACCGAGTGTGCCGTATCAATTTGCTAGAGACTGGAAGGTCAGGACTGAAACAATTAATTACATCAT